CAGAAGTTTAACCTGCTGCAAGTGTCTCCAGAAATCTAGCTTCATCTAGGCAACAGCAAAGAACCAGAGCACACAAAAGGAAAGCTGCAAAGCCAACTTAGTGAAACAAAACATTGCTATTGAAGAACTCCAAAATCATCACAGCTCCCAGCAGGAAGAGAGGAAAGGAGGGAGAAGTCTGCATCCTGACCAGCTGTCCACAGATCTCAGTTTCATCTGTCTTCTAGTGTTTGAAGTGGGAGATTGAATTTGGTTACCAAAACTGTGGCATAAAGGGCTGTTCTACAGTTCACCAAGTCACAATAATGGACGAGATAGGAACTGCAGAAGTAGCTCTCTGGGGAATATCAGAGCTGAAAGCCAAATTTTACAGTTGCCAACTAGTCCCATGTCAACTGAGCACATTCTCAGCAAGTTCCAATTGCTTTAACACCATCAGGTGAGATGCTAAGCTAGATATGAAAGAAAGCACTTGAAGACTGACACCTTGAAGGGTTTTCATATTTATAATAGCTGCTTTGCTCCTTCTTCCCCTCAAGGAGGATTATGATCAGGGACAGGCAGTGTATGTTTTGTACTTCTTTGGGTTTATTTGTTTGCTTTTCAGTTTTAGTGACTTTTAGAGGTCAGGGCAAACATTAGCTGATAACATACCCTTGGAGACAACGGTGACATCCTGCACATTTACCTAGTCACCTCTGGACAGGAGTGGGAGAGACCACCTGTGACATGGTGCCTGTGACATGGTGCCTGTGACATGGTAGTTTTCCTCATCAGACTGGCCTTTTACACCAGTTTACTTCATGTTGCAAGCTCAAGTCCTTGCCATTCACTGCCTGCCCCAGGTTTTAACTACTAACATGGGTAACTGTCCTCCTGTCGCTCAGCCTCTGAGCTCTGCATATCTATTTCCTACCAGCCACATCAGGGCTCTGACTCACAGTCTGCCCCATCCTGCTTAGCACAGAAACGGCCGAGCTCTTTGTGAACCAGCTGCTAAGCTGCTGCCTCCTCCAGAACAGCAGCCTAACCAACAGCCACCACTTCCAGTCCCTCTGACAAAAAGGGGCTCCAAGCCACAGGTTTGTGCAGCAGAAGGGAGCACTGGGCAGCTAAGGCAGTAGCTCACTTCTTCCAAGCTTTTACTTCCCCACTTCTCAATCAAGGCCCCAGCAGCATTTTCTCCAAGTATCACTTGGCTGGTTACTAGTTTATTTTTCTGTCCTTGGTGTGTTGAGAGACCTGCCCTGCTGAGCATCTCCACGCAAATCAAAGGTACTAAACCTTTTCCCTCTCCTTTCTCTAGGCCAATACTAAGGATGCTAGGAGGTACAAACATTGACTGCTACATATACCATTTCTTCCATGGAAAAACACAGAAAATGTAAAAGCCAGATTGGTAATCCCCAGAGTATTTAGGCAGGCAACACTTACAAAACTGTCTTGCAGGATGTTAGGACCATAGTTCCTTCTCCTGGAACCAGAAGGCACCATATCTGTGAGTTAATGGTGCCCTACACTGCTGCTGCTAACGTCAACACAGTGATTAGGAGAACAGATAGCATGGGATACCAGACAGGACAGCTTTTTGTGCCTTAAACACCCAGTAAGTGGAGGCTGCTGGAGAGGACAGTGAGAACTACCCAGAGCAGGACTGTGACACAAGCTTATTCAGTCAGGAGGATGCTGCCTCCAGTAACACCTAGGAGGGAAAAAGACAATGGAAGAAAAGAAGGCAGCAAAAGCATCAGGACACAGATCTGTCAATGTATAGAGCTTGGCTGAGCTTTGGATGAAGTAGGAATCACACCCACTCAGCTACCAGAGTGGCATCCAAAGAGATGTAAGCAGCAAGCCAGCTCTGAAGAGGGGAGGGACTCTGAGCACGGGGCCTGGGTACAGGCCTGGGTATAGGCCTCTTGTGCAATTTTGAATGTATGCAAACAAAGCAGTGCACGTGCTTCATATTGGCTTGGTGCACTTCAGCTTTGACAACCAAACATGTTCAACAAGGTACTAACGTTAAACTGGTAACAGGTTTCCTCACAACAGGTGAGAAGTACAGAAACTGCACATGGAAGAGATCCCGGAGCCTGGAACATCATGCCCAAAAGCATTACACCACACGAGCTGCTGAACTGCTGGCATTAAACCCCCAGCCCTGAACGAGGGTGGGCACATGGATGCTGCCCACAGCCAGGCAGGAAAGCCCCTCCTGGTTGGTTTTCACCCAGGGTTTGGCCAGCCTTGGGTGGGAGCTGATGAGGAGATCCCCACCAGGTGCCCCCACAGTAACTTGGAGGTGGGGCAGGAAGCCACCTCTGTAAGAGCTGGTGCTGCTTGCAGTGGGGTTGGGAGGGTTCTCTACACAGTGCATGTGCTGGGTGAGGGTTCTGGCTATTGAAAGGGCTCCCCAGCTCTTCATAGCAAGTGGAGTTCATCATGAGTCTCTCTCTGGGAAACTGCTACACAATTGGACTCATCCCCTGGCTGATTCCACCTCCCACGGCATGGCCCCGGGTCAGCTCGCTCCCTCCCCACACAACATGCTGTGAGGGACTGCCTTGACTTCTTCCTCCCTCCAGCTGTCTGGCACCTTGGATCGTTGGTATAGGATTTAAGAGCAGAGGGAGAGGCTTGGCTGCTGGTCTGTCCATTAGTGATAATATTGTTCTGTATCAGGCAAATAGCCGAAGAGCCACTCCTCAGTGAGCAACAGTGAAATGGTTCCACTTCTGTCAAGGAAAAGGGCCTTACACTGCTTTCTGTAACACCTTGCCCCCTGGTTCAATGAGCTCTGTACAGGCTGGTCGCAGGACAGCTGAACCACCACCCCTCAGGGGCAGGGCCAGCTCCACACAGAGCCTGTCCTGTTCCGTGAGCTGCCTCGTAAGCAATGAAGATTAAATCAGGGACTATATTTGTTCTCCCTGCCTGGTCATATCTTTCTATAGATCCCAGGCTGGGCCCCACTTCCTTGGCACGGATCCTGGATACTAGTAAGCAAAGGAGGGCATAAATAAGTTGCTCAGGTTCTGTCAGGAGCACACTGAAGCAGCCATCCATGCGGGAACAGGTGCACTGGAGGCAGGCAGGGACACTGTCCCACCAGGAGCGGTGCAGGAGGGCCCACAGAAAAGCTGTTCATTGCTTCTCCCAGGGCCTAGCCTAAACTTTTCACCCTTTAAGTGGGTTATTTACCTTCTGGGACTCACAGGTTCAGCTAGAGACTCTCCACTAAACACCAGTTCAGGCTAGGTCAGGCCCCAGCCAAGCATTGCTGGGTTTCTGTAGTCCGTTCTACTTCACTTCTACTTTTGTTGTCACTCTTATTCCCTTTCTGGCCCATTTCACTCTGGGCTCTGACACACTCACTCGGCAGTGGAAGTGTTTCGGGGATCGTGCAGAATTATTAGTGGATGAAGACAGCCTTAGAACACAACTGTAATTCTTCCCCAGCAATTTAAAAAGTCAGTTGTCATGAAAAAGAGTGCAGACTTAGAGCAGCACAGAGCATGTCACTGGTCTACACTTAATAACGATGGGGTGGATCTTCAAGTAATACTGCAGTTTGAATAATATTTTAAGCAAGCGTTTCTTCTGAAAGCAGCAGCCCTACCCTCACCCCAACCCCACCACTGCTGCCAATTCCCACTCTGTCATCCCTTCTCTAAGTACCAGCCCAAGCAGTACAGCCCAGCAGTGAAACAAATCAGGGACATACCCAGATTCAAGTTTGCTTTTTCCCTTTTTTGACTGGGTTAGTTTCAGTCTGGATCAGTTCCCTGGTCAGGTACAAAGCACAACCACAAAGATGGCTGTGTCAGCACAGCCCAGGACTTGATATCTGCATGAGAATGTGGACACTTGCTGAGCCTCAGGGTGATGAGCCTTACTCAACACACATCATTGTATCTCCACAGAACAATAGATGCAACCAGTAAAACCACTCATTGTAGATAAGGCTGTGTAAACAGGACCCCACCCATGCCCACACAGCCAGAGCGGCCCATGCCCTAGCTCAGGGCACAGTGGCCAAATGGGTGGGCAGAAACCTGCAGAACGACTTGTGAAGTGCTCCATATGAAGCTCCTGGGCATAGTGCTCCCATGATGGGCCTGCAAAGACACACAGAACCCAATGTACTGCTTTGAGAAACAGTTTTAACAGCCTGGGACTTCTAAACAAATATTGTGCACACTCAGTCTTTGCTTCTCTTCTTAGTCACAAAAGTACCAGGTGGCTTCTTCCAATGCTGAGTTAGAGAATCCACCCCAGACCACTGTTTTTTGTGGACAAAATCAAGAGAGAAATTCTAACTTTGAAATAGGTAAAAAATCCATTGCAAAATCATGTCTACAACCTAAAAAGTTGACTTCTGCTACAGCTATGAGCCAGCACCTCTCTGCACTCAGGGCTGGCTGAGAAGAACCCACAGGTGAAAGACACTCATGCCAGGGCGATAAGAAGGCAAACTACAGGGAACAGGGGCAGCCCAGAGAGGTCTATTTTCTGCCTTTCTTAAAACCTGAAAAGTGAAGCTAGTTAAACTGGCGGCATTTGCACACCACCAGCAGACCCATACAGGGCTTCAGGGGCTGAACTCCTGCCCCGGTGCATCTGCACCAGACACAGACCTTCACCTGTAGGGATAACAGGAACGCTGGAGACAGCGGCGAGAGACACCATAAAAGACAGACTTAACCACAGCACGAAGCCACGGTATGATATCTATCCAAAGATGGCTTCAGTAGCATGCCCAGCTCTGGAATCTACCTTACTGATCGCCCCCTGGAAACAGACATCTGTAATTCTTTTGATCTGTGAATGTTAAAATCTTCGCTGATTTTCCTAAACACAACCTGAAGAGACCAACGGCATCCACCTGGGAAGGCCCGAGAGGACAGAGCGCCCTCAGAACGCCGGCTGCTGCAGGACGAGGAGCCTGCGGAGGGCAGGCTGCCTGGGGGCTCGGGGTGTCCCCCCTCCCCTCTCCTTACCGTACATCTTGCCCTCGTCGGAGAGGATGATCTTCCTCCGCCCGCAGGGCGGGTAGATGGCTAGCGCCTCCTGGAAGCTCTGCTCGATGTCCGGGCTCCACACGCCCTCCGCGTCATTGTCGATGGGCTTCTCCAAGGCCTCGCTGCCCCCCGAGTCGTTGCTCCCCTCAGGGGAGGTGGGAGAACTCCACTCGTTGGAGGTAATGGTGCCAGCTAGGAACTCCAAGGCGATACGTGGAGAAGCAGATTCAGAACCTGGGAGGACAAACACGGCATCGGTCAGGGAGAAACCCCCCTCTCCAGAAAAGTGAAGAGATAATAAAAATTAAAAAAAAAAAAAAGTTAACAGAAGCTCAGTGAGAAGCATTTTTACTTGAAGTTCACCTTAAATGGTAACTCAGCCACGTGGTTGAATTCTATTTACGTCGAGATGAAAACCTTTCCTACAAGTCCTTCTGTAACCCAGCTGTTCCCGTGTCTCCTGGACTCATGAGCTCTCTATCACTTCCTGTCCTCCTCAGAAGCTAGCTCCCTTTTCTGGCCTTCAGTGCCAAATTTCTTTCTCCCTCTGCTGCCATTACCTGTGTAACTTAACTTTCTGAAGCACGCATACAGGGGTTCAGTCTGGGTAAAAGACTACACAAAACAAAGCAGAGATGACCTGTCTGGTCACCCCCGAGCACTCCAGCTGAAATCCCCTCACACGCTGCTTCACGGGATCAGAATCAGAAGTCCATGTCATTCTGAACACTGATATTTCTTCTCAAGGATTAGATGCACTTCTAAAAAGCAGTTCCTGGAGCCAGTTTAGTGCAGTGTCTCCCAAACCTCAGCACTAAATCCTAGCAGGAGCAGAAGGCACCACAGGTAAAAGAACAGAGGCACTAGGCTGTGCAGGTCAGGAGGCCTAGGCACTTAGCCTGTTTCTGCTGCTCATCTTGGAATGACCTTGAGCACGTTCCTTTAGCTCTCTGTGCCACTCTGCCCTCTCATCCTTCACCAGTCTTAGGCTGTTAGATTTGCCACAGGGCAGGAGCAGAGATCTGCTTCTCATTGAACCAAGCAGGCAGCAGCTAGCTCTTGAAAGCTACAAGACATGATAATCTACTTCCAAACACCTATGGTAGAGGCTGAACTCATTGAGTAGAGCTGCTAAGATATTTGGAAAGCAAATTCAGGCCACACAGACACTTGCAGTTAACCACACAAAAGACACCAGGCTTCTAAAGACACAGGCCATTCCCCGGCCTTGATCCCAAAGCTGCTCACCTGCCTTTTCAATAGCATTGCTATCTGAGCTACAAAGAAGGTTCACAAGCCACCATTTGAGAGGCCAGTTAAATGAGACAGCTCAAAACCTCTCTGCTTATTGCATTGAGCTGGGTAGGAAAAAAAAAATCAGAGTAAGACTTTGTCTGTCTGCAAGAGCAACAGAATCATGAAATTTGTACCAAACGAGTACAGAAAGAGCTCTCACACTCCGAGTGCGACTGGCTCAGAAATATTACAGTGATAATGTAAAGGAGGACAGAAGAGAAATTCTGGCATGGTCTATGTAAAAAAAAACCCAAAATAGCTAGAACAAAATTTGTGCGGTTATGGCATGGCCTAGCTGGTAAATAGGAAAAGCAGGTCCATTCATCCAGCTTCTGAAGTGCAAAAATGCAGGGCTCATGGCTCCAGAAACTTAAAACTACATCATACATTCCCCTTAAAATCTCTCTTTGGATTTCATGTTAACAAAATCTTCTCCAAGACCATAATGACTAGATTTATTTTTTTTTTTTTAAATAAAAGCTGCAATTCTTAAGAATTTTATAATTTCAAAAGCTGAAGTTGTAAAAGCTTGACACTGGCTCTCAGAAGGTTTTGCTGCTCCTTAATGACTTTGGACAGCAGCAGATACCTGTTTTACATCTCTATAACCCACCAAAAGCTCAGGAAGCAAGCTAATGCTGGGCATTTGAATAGTCCCTAGACACAGTATACTCACACCACAGTGCAGCACTTTAGCAAGTGATTCACAGACATTTAGGAAACCCCATGTACAGCTGAATTCCTGAGAGACTGTTTGCAACACACACCACTGGGGCAGCTTGCCACTAGCCATCCACTTCAGCCCCTACATTAGATTATTTCAATCCTCTTGACCCGTGCTAAACATTTTCCGAGCTCTAATGAACAAGGGAGGAAGGAATAAAATGGAAGGTGAGGGGAGCAGAAAGGGAAACTCACTCTTGGCCTTTCCCACCGGGACAGACATCCCAAGCTCACTGAGCATGGCAGTAAAGCAAGCACTGGGGCCCTAAGGGACCCTGAAACAAACCACCAGTTCTTCCCTCCCAGGGCATCTGTGACCAATACATCCCCTTCCCCTGGCAGGTGCTCGATAAAAAACTCCAGGGGTATTAAGAGACTGCCCTGCTGAGGACTCAGCGTAGAGGAGCAAGGAGGACTGACAGAGAAACAGAAGCTATCTGTTCCAGCTCTTCTTCTCTTGATATTTCCCCAAGCACCCTCAGTCCCTGCAGGCCGTCCAGACCTCTGGATCTAAGGCACGATAAAGTCTCCAGCAGCACAAGGCACAGCCCCGTTTGAACTCGGGCTGACAGCCTGAGACACGGAGGGCTCGGGCAGCAGCCTAAGCCTAGACAACTGTATTCACCTCCCACTGGAAAACCCATCTGGTCAAACTAGGGCGCTTTCCAGAAACATGCCTAATGTTGAAGGTGTCAGTATTATTCAAACCTTTCCGATATGTAATTAGTGACTAAAAACACAAACGTGCCAGTTAGCACAGAGCTTCAGTCTGCTTCTGTTTTCCCATTCCATCAATAGTAACCACACACATACAGGCTGGTAATTTTAACAGTGATTTGTATTACTGAGTGTTCTAATATCACAAAATATTTCAGTACTTGCAGACTGTTTCTTTTCCACACTCACTCAAAGGTAGGCTTTTGGACCAGAGGAAAGCAAAACCATGCAGAAGACACAAAAATCCTTCCGCTCCAGTGGCTCTGGTTTAATTGTTCTGCTGCCGGAAATTTCAGCACTACCTCCCCTTCCTTTCCTTTCCTTCCCTTCCCTTCCTACGTGGTATCTCACCAAGATCCAGCGATCCTGCAGGGCCAGGCAGCTGCCAGGAGCCCTTCAGCAAGGCCTGGCTGGCAGGGAGCAGATCTTTAACAGACTGCAGCCTGACACATCTCTTTCCAATGTCTGCTCCTCAGCCCCTGCTGCTTCAGCAGCTCCCCTAAAGTGCTGTGGCAGCTGCTCCAGACAAAACCGCGCTCTGAGGCTCTGAGGCACGGCAGCCAGCTGCCTCTGGCTGCTCAGTTCTCCCAGAGGGGCTCTGCCCAAGACTCCCACGCTCCACGGCCACTCCCGAGCCCTGCTGCAGGGCACACCAGAGCTGTCCCTACCGCTCACCCCCCAGGAAGGCACACTGCCCAGCACAGCCCCCGACCGGCTGGTCCCACTCCTGCTGCCGGGCTGCCTGCACTCCCAGCGAGTCTCTCCACTTCCCAGGGTGGTCCCTTCACCCCCAGGCTCACCCAGCGGGGCCGGCAGGGGCAGGGGCTGCCCAGGACAGGCACTGGTGTCACCATCATCGTCCCTTCACCCCCAGCCTCACCCAGTGGGGCCACCAGCAGCAGGGGCTGCCCACGACAGGCACTGGTGTCACCGTCACACACACAGCCCAGGCAATGCCAGCAGCCACCTCCCTGGCACGCGAGCCCCATGCTGCTGCCGTGGAGGACAGGAACCACAGCCTTCCCAGAGCTGAGCAGCACACAGAGAACGTCCACCAGTGACGAGCCCAGCCAGAAGAGAAGATGTACTGTTGCTCAAACTCCAGAGGAGTTTGTGACAGTAAGAAAACCTGGGAACGGCCACAAACAGTCACTTCCATCCAGAACACTTCACCAATGAGCTTACACAATGCAGTCATACAAGGAGATCTGGGTTTAGGAAAGCAACAATTTGGAATACTACGATATGTACTGTGTCAGGTGTGATGGAAGATCACATTCAACACTCACCAGAGGAAGAAGACTGGAAAATTCTACAAAATACTGCAATAATCTCAGTTCCTCTGAAAGAGAAGAATGAGTGCAAGCAGTAGATGAGTAGCTCCAAGGGGATGCAACTCAACAACTGCAGTAAAAAAATGTACTGGAAAGGGAGAAGGTAGGAAAGCATCTATTCAACAATAACTGAGGTCTGCTATAGCTTGCAGGCAAGAGAGGACAGAAATCATCAACTTTTTTATTGGGTCTATATAGTAAAATGAAAATGCACCTGTAGCAAGACCAACTAGCACTGAACCATGTCTAGGAAGGTAACAGCACTTTTGCAGCACTAGCCAGCAACCAGGCAGATGTCCAGGCTCCTCAGGAGCTGCACTCCAGTCACTACACCAGCCTGGAGCCAGAGCCACTCAGCTTCACCAGGAGATTCA